CTGCTCCAGGGGAATTCTTGTAGGCTCTTGGGGGTGGGTAGGTATTTTGAGTTGGGTAAGCATTTTGTGGGGTGGGTGCGCGCCATTGCGCATGGGTAGGATGTTGGGGGTATGTTTGGGCATGGTGGACAGAGAAGTGGGGATAGTGTTGTGGTGGGCTATATGGAGTGGGGGTAGGTTTGGGGATGGGGTCGAGGTTGGTCGTAATATAGTGATGGGCCCCTGGACCAAGCTCTTGATTCAACTACTGCCACATCTTCTTTCTTTTTCTTTCCCAATACCCCTCCAGTGCCGCTCTGGATAGCCTGGGTAGTTGCCTTGATCGCCGAATAGCTCATAATTTTGTTGGATTTAAGCCCCTCTTCCACCATACTTCCCATTTTTACTACCTCGTTAAAAGATTTTCCCACTACCGACACCAAGTGACCATGGTAGGTGGGTTCTAGAGCCTGTAAGAAGTAATCAACCATCTCGCTTTCTTTCATTGGAGGATCGACTCTTGCCGTTTGTTCTCTCCACCGGAAACCGTACTCTCTAAAGCTTTCCCCGGGCTTTTTCTCAATTTTAGTCAGTGACAGACGGTCCGGGACAATTTCGAGATTATACTTAAAGTGGCATGCAAACGCCTGGGCCAAATCATCCCAAGTGTACCATCGAGCATGATCCTGTCGAGTGTACCATTCCAAGGCCGCACCACTTAGACTTTGACTGAAGTATGCCATTAATAACTCGTCCCTTACCCCAGCTCCTCTCATTTTGCTGTAGAATCCCCTTAGATGTGCCACCGGATCACCGTGTCCGTCATACATATCAAACTTGGGTAACTTGAATCCCACAGGTAACTGTACATTGGGAAACAAGCACAAATCTTTGTAGGCCATGCTCACTTGACCTCCGAGACACCACATATTTCTGAATGACTGCTCTAAGCTCTTGACCTTTCGTATCATCTCCTCTTGATCAGGGTTTTTGGGAGGCTTCTCTTCTTCAGCTGAGAGATCAAAACGGGGAGCGTAAGAGCATGGTTCTGGGGGTTTGAGGGTGGGTTCGGGTGGGTAATAGTGGTTTTCATGGGTTTGGAACAGAGGTTCACTAGAGGATATGTGTAATGCGGCGGGTGGAGGAGCCACAAACACAGGAGTAGCTGGTGGTGGAGGGCATGGGATTTGTTTGGGTGGTGGAGGTGGTGGTGTTTGAGAGGTGGTTTCGTAGTACTGCTGGTAAGTAGGGAAAGCCGGAGAAGAGATCACTGTGGGAGGATCTTGAGGCTGAGCTAGTGGTGGTATGTAGGCAGGGTTAGCAGGATAGGCTGGTGGTGGATGTCCCTTTGACCATGCCCGGTACATCTTGGCCATTTGTTGCTTCAGTTTATACATCTCCTCCTTCATTGCATTAACGTCCACTACTTCCTCCTCCCTAGACGGGTCGACAATGCTTGCTTCTAACTCCTGGTTGACCATGTTTGACTTATCCTTAGAGCGAGTGTTGTAGGGATGGGTTGCCAGAATGCCAGTCAACTTAACCACTTGCCTGGACTCATCATCAACGACTTTGTTAGCAGTTAGAGCGTTAACAGATAGATAACCGCACATTTGGGGAATGAATGCACCTAAGCAGTTAACCATTTCTATTATGACTTCGCTTGGTTGCATGCGTCATCCCGGCTTTCATTTTTCTTTATTTACCAAGCCTTTCCTTTAATCCTCCCTCGTGTTTTTCATTGTTTGTTTCTTGCATTTCCCTCTTTTCTTTGCTTTCCTCTCATTTTCCTCTCTTTTCTTTTCCTTCTTATTCTTTTGCCTTGGTTTGTCTTGTTCCTATTCTCTCCCTGCCTCAAAATTATTTTTCTGCTCTTTTCTTTCTTTGTCTCTTGCTCTCTTTTTATTTTCTCTTATTTGCCCTTTTTTATTTTTTGGTTACGGTCGAATCCTATGGAGATTGCCTACGTATCATGACCCCGCATGAATCAGACTAAGCGTAGTTCTTGCAAATAAATGCGAAAATAAGGAAACAATTTTTGGGGAATTTTTCTCAATTTTTCATTAATAACAACTGCGATTACAAAAAGCTACCAGACTATTTGTTTTTCTTTTTCAAAGAGGGAAGTTACAAAAATGGACTCGATTAACTAGGAATACATCAAAGCTTCAAACCCTGGGGCCCGCGGGGCATCACTCGGCATCGCTACGGGCCTGCGCAAGACTGAGAAGGTTTCAGTGTCAACTGTGGTCATCCTGGACAAGGAGTTTTAAGGAAAAGTGTGACTATTTAAAAAAAGCTGATGACTTATTGTGACTTAAAAGAAAAATGGCTATTTTCAATAATTTATTTAAGAAAACAAAGACTTGGTGTTGCAAATACGGCCTTTCAGCACTTCCGAAAGGGAGATTTTAAGGCTGTGCCCGCAAACCGTTTAAAAATGACTCAGGGTGGCTGTTCTTGCAAAAACAGCCTTCCGGCGCCCATTTGGGGACATTCGGCTTATTTTAAACAAGAATGGAGGCACCCGACTTATTTTGACAAAAAATTAAAGTTTTGACATTATTTGGCTATTTTTGAAAAAGGGTGGTTGGACCCGATGAGGGTTGCCTACGTATCTCACATCCGGTGAGAATCAAACCAGCGTAGTTCGGTCAAATAAAACTAACTATCTTCGTAAACTAGACTCTTTTTTTTTGTTGGCAAATACACTATTTCTGAAAGCAAAACTCTTTTTTATATTTTCTTTTTCAGTGGCAAATAAAACAAACTAATTTGAAAATAAAACTCTTTTTGTTTTTCTTTTCCATTGGCAAACAAAACAAACTAAAAAAAAATACTTTTCTTTTTCATTTTTCTCAAAAATCCGGCAGAATTTCGGCACTACTTGGACATTGGTTTTTCTGATATAGGTAATTAACTCTCTACACTGCTATTTTCTCTTTTCCCCTTTTTGTTTTTCAATTTTTCCAGATATTCAAAGCCGGTCGGCATGCGAGTCCTAAACAGATAAATGCACAAGTAGGATGCATCAGGATGGTCCATTATATCGGGTACACCTATCCTAGACGGACCCAACCCATGTGTTGAGTCCCCTAAGTCATATGCACGTGATGCAAATAAGCGTTCCTACTAGGGATCCGGCATGAGGTCAAGTTATTCTAGGTTCAAAACCTGGGTATATGTTCTAGACTGTGCACCCGAGCGGACAACTCGAGTCGAAGAGGGGGCTACGTACCGGGAACCAAAAGGTCATCCGGCTTAGTAACTTGTCCGGCCTCTTTCTTATTTTAAGGTATGACACTAACAGAATAGGGAATCTCCACCAGTGATCACATCCCCGGAGGTGAGAAGAGAAGGGTTTCGCCACAGTTTATATACAATTCAGATAATATCAAAGCGGTAAAAAGCAACATTTTGCACACTTAGCATGAAACATGTAGGAAAATCAGATAAAGCCAAATACAACAATATATCTAAGCTCGAATTCTGAACCCTGAACCAAAGTTCTGAGTTCTTTTCCCCAGCAGAGTCGCCAGAGCTGTCACACCACCTTTTTCTTCACCCCGCAAGGGTGTAAAGGAGTTTTTTCACTTAAAGGACAATCGAAACGGGATGCATTTATTTATAGATTCAGAGTGGCCACTTGGAATATTTATGGTGTCCCAAGCCACCGGTTGAATCCCGAATCGAGGAAAAGATTGACTCTATTTAACAGTCCGCGATCCAGAAATCCGAGTAAGAAATTCTGTTAACCCGGGAGAAGGTGTTAGGCATTCCCAGGTTCCGTGGTTCTAGCACGGTGGCTCAACTGTCATATCTGGCTTAGTTAGTTGATTTTAAAACATGTTTCAACTTATATACTTTTTAGCTTTGAACCGCTTTTATTATTATTATTTTTAAAGAGAATTGCAACATCGTGAAAACACGTCTCGAACCACGTCACATAAATGCACCCGTGGTTTTTGACACGTTTCAACTTCGTTGGGATTTGGATTTGGGTCACATAAATGTGCACCCGAGTTTAAGAAAGTAATATTATTAAATGCCGGGCCTAAGAGCGACTAACGGGTTATTATATTTGCGGAGGGCCGTGAAATTCGCTAAACTGAACGCCCCGAATTCTAAGTATTTTAATATAAGCATTTAACGAGGGCCCCGCAATTTAAGCATTTTTGTTTGGCGAGGCTCATCTCATCTTATTATTTAAAGGCCATCTTAGAGCAAACTATAATTTTCTATTGGGTTTGTCTCTAAAGAGCCTTAGTTAATTACCGTCACTAAATGAACATTATCGGAATCAGCCCAGGAGCAGCCGTTAGCACAATGGGCTTCGAGGCCAGCCCACAAAAAGAGAATTGTGTCATCCCTGTTAATGTGAATTACTTAATATTTGGGCCTCAGCAATAGTAAAAGACCGGACCAGTAGGAAATGCCCTCAGTGTTTTGGGCTTATGACTGGACCATACGAATTTGAAATAATACACTAACAAATGAGGGACATTAGATGATCAATATGATATTTGTGCGTTTGAACAACTGATTCCACAATGAGCTAAACACAAGGATCTACTAATATCCAAAATGCAGCTAGATTATACACAAGATGTAATTACTAATTCTGAATGAAACTATTGGATTACTAGACTAGAGTAAATTACGATTTCCAGTCCAATTACGTTGATTCAAGTGTCAATTCATAACCAAGCATAATGACCTTATTCAAATCACAAATAGATGACTATTGGACAGATGACTTCGTATTTCAGACCAAAGGACTATTAGACCTATTCAAATTCACGTGAAGTCCTGCTTCAATTACAAACTTACATGCTGTATAGAATAATCTATGTGCAAACACTAAGTGTCCAGTTTTTAATTACAATGTGTTCAAAAGGGAAAATGATAGAAACCATCCTACAAATACAGAGAACTATTGAATGAAACTGCAATTCTAATGCACAAGCAGACACGTAAATGTAACAGATCTTCTAATCCTCTTATTTCCTTCTTCAAATCAGCCTTTCAGCAATACATAGGGATTCTAGAAAGGTATGTACCTGGAAGTTGTAAATAAGAAGGAAAAGGAGAGATCAGCAGCAGTAGATGACAAGCAACAGTATTAAACACAGCAGCAGGGACAATTGCAGGTTCAACACAACTTCACAAAGCTCAGGAATGAGTTACAGAGGATCAACAGGAGCTAATCGATCAAAAACAAGCTTGTTTGACCTCAAGTTTACTCGAAATTGAACTAGGAAGTTACAGAACACCTTCAGCACTCAAAAACACCCAGCAACAGCTCGAATAAATCCCAAACACCTTCAGATGCTTTAAACCTTCGCGTACAGAACAGAAACAGAGAAATCCGAGCTAATTCCGATCCTAAATGAGCTAACCAGTTGAATTAAGAGCTGAAATTTGAGAAATGATCTAAGGAAGATCAATGTAACAGTTTTTTTTTGTATTTTTCTGTGGCTTTTGTGTATATTTTTTGTTTTGGAGATTTTCTAAGATAAGAAAGAGAATTTCAGATCTAGTGTTTGAATCTGAAATTCAAATTTAGCTTCTGGAAACTAAGACTATTTTGGGGGGAATTTTTGGGGTTCCAAACTTGTGAATCAAGGCACTAGACATGCCTTTTATAGTCATAAATGAGGGCAACCCTCAGATTTTCAGTTTTTTGCATCTAATACCTTTTTAATTTTCGTTTTGCTTAAAAATCCCTCAATTATTAGCTTGTTTCTCAAGTTAAAACCCCCTAACTTTCTGAAATTATAACTACGGCCCTATTTAGAAGACTCTAGAGGGTTCTAGATTTAACTACAGCCTTCCTATGCACCCTAAGTACCCAAACTAACCCTGAATTCAATCTGAAATTACCCACCCTATAGTAGTTGACCCCAGCCCATATGACTAACCATGGTCAACTAAACAAAGGCCAAGACTATTCAGCTATAACCAAACCATTCTTAAAGACTCTAAACTGAATTATCAAGTCCAATTAATGTTAAACAAAACTAAAAATTAATCCTAGTTTCTGCTACTATCGAACTATCAATTACCAATTAAACAAAACTAATAATCAATCACAAAAAAATGAAAATAAACAGAATCCTACTAATCATGAATCAACTGTATCAAAAAAAAATCTTAAGCAAATCAAAAGAAAAACAAATACTAAAATAAACAGGAAAAGGTAATAAGAATCAAAAAAGAAAAAATGAAGAGATGGAGATTATCGGGATTGACAGTGGGCTTGGGCAAATCCAATTGAAAATTCTTGACCAAACTAGTGTTTAATCGTGTGTTTTTCATTAGAAAACACACGACTAAACACTATAATGGTCAGGTCATCAAAGAATCCCCGATTCGTGAAACTAGGGTTTGAGGCTAAGTTTCGATTTAAAATTCGAAACCCTGGGGAGAAGATTGAAGGTTACTGATGGTGGATTCATAACAACGGGGATGAGGAGAAACACTGATGTAAAATTGGGTTCCTTTGGTGGTGGCGCCGCCGTGGGAGGCGGAGGCGACGTCCACAAATTTTAATATTCGAGGGGCTGGGCTAACTTTCGAAAGATGATATGTAGGGCGTTGGAAAGAGGAGGGACGGAGGAGCCTATGATGAAAATTTGGGTGAGTTTGGAGACCGGCCATCGGCGGAGGCGATTTCCGACCGACGGCGGGCGGCGGAAGATGGAGGAGTTAGGGTATGTGAGGGGCGAGGTTGAGAGACGGGGCTTTGGGGGTGGGGGGTGCCCTTCTGACAATATTATATCAAAATTTATCAATCCCTGACCGTTAGATCAAACAACCTAGACGGTAAGGATTGATTGTCGTTGAAACGACGTCGTTTGGTGCGGGCAAAAATGGACCGGGCGTGGAAAGGGTTTTTGGGCCATACTGAAGTGCCTTTTGCCTTGGGCCAGCTATTTAATTGGAAAATTGGCCCAAATTAAACAGCCCTTAAATCTTTTAGGCTTCTTATTTATTTTCTTCCTTTTT